ATAGGATTGGTATATAAAATGAAAAAAAAAGTTTTTTTTTTAAAAAATAAAATTTTAAAACTTGTTTTGGTTGTTTTTTGTTTTGTTTTGTTTTGTTTTTCAAGACAGAGTTTCTCTGTGTAGTCCTGGCTGCCCTGGAACTTGTTCCAGGCTGGCCTCAAACTCAAGAGATCTACCTGCCTCTGCCTCCTGAGTGCTGGGACTATAGGTGTGCACTCCCACCACCCAGCTTAATTTATTGTATATATGTCTGTGTATCACGAACATGCCTGGTACCCACAAAAGTCAGAAAAGGTCATCAGATCCCTTGGGACTGGAGTTAGATGACTACCAGATGCTATATGGAGACTAGGAACTGAACCTGGGGTCCTCTGCAAGAGCAGCCAGGACTTTTTAACTACTGAGCGAACTCTCCAGCCCATACATGAGACTCCCTTGAAAAATGTTTCACAGTGTATCTTCTTGCCTACTATCTGGGATTACCCTCACATGCACACCTTTTTTTCTTCAGGGGCAGTAATTCTGAACTCTGTTATGTCTGGGGTATGTCTAGTCAATTTCTGCTCTGTTACTGTCCCCTTCTACCCTCTCTATGTCCTCTTCGCTATTTCCTGCCTAATTTTCAGCCTTTCTCCTTTTGGGTGACTACTTGCCCCTCTCTGTGTCGGTAGGGACTGTCTAGCTTCCATGCACACACTGTCACACACTGTCCTCGACCTTCCATCCATCCATCCTGGCATGGCTAGACTTGCCGCCACTGTTCTTACTATTATCCTCTCATCAGGCACACCCACACACTAATCCCAGCTATCATGTGATGGTTTTTATTGTGTTAACTTTTTCTTGCTCAACTAGTTTTCATTGTTCTGATACTGATCAGTAATTGTGGTGTTTGGTGTCCAATGCTGAAGACTAAGCAAACATCCCATATGCCTGGAGCTTTACCTTTTCATTATGGAGCCTCAATTTCCTCTGTAAACTTTCTTCCTTTTTGGCTTACTCCTTCATTTTGAAGTATATCCTCGAGTAATTTCCTAAACTTTAAGAGTTCATAAGTCTTTCAGAGTGACTTTTAATTGATTTGGAAATAATTTCCCTTCAGAAATTTGAAGCAGAAGTCCCAATGTCTCTCATTTCTATAGTGCCATCGGGGTGCTGGAGAGATGGCTCAGCAGCAGCTGAGAACACTAGCTGCTCTTCCAGGGGACCTAGGTTCAATTCCCAGCACTGACATGGCAGCTCACAGCTTTCTGTGGTCCCAGTTTCAGGGGAACTGACACTTTCACAGACATACATAAATGCAGGCAAAACATGAATGCACAGGAAATTTAAAAAAAAAAAAAAGTCAAGTGAAGTGCCGTGAGCACTTATAGCCACTGTTTACTGGCTCCAGCAGTTTCCCGGTCTGAAATCACAGTGCTCTTCCTGACATTAGCACAAGCTTTCCCTGGGGATCAGGAAGGGGAGTCCTCTGAACAGCATGTTTGGTCATTTCTTTCTTTTTTTTAATATTTATTATGTATATAATAGAATATTGTATATTATTCTATCTGTGTGTATGCCTTCAGGCCAGAAGAGGGTGACAGATCTCATTACAGCTGGTTGTGAGCCACCATGTGGTTGCTGGGAATTGAACTCAGGACCTTTGGAAGAGCAGGCAATGCTCTTAACCGCTGAGCCATCTCCTCAGCCCTCCATGTTTGGTCATTTCTGTGGCCACATACCACACGGCTATCTGCATGTCTTTCCTTTGTGGCTGAGATGAGTTTTCAGAGAAGCTGCTGCAATTTCTGCCTGAAGAGCATTGTGGAGCAGAAAGTCTTGTAGACTGAAGGTTCAATGTTGTCTCCCATAGGGCTGAAGGGGTTCAACCGCTTAGTGTGTGGTAGGCAGGAGCTACTTGCTTCTTAGAAAGCTGGTGGCCAGTTTTCCTGTTTCACCCTTTTCCTCAAATACGTGGGAGGCACCAGATGTCAGTTCCAGACCTCCAGGAGCTCAGACTCTCTATGTTCCCTTGTTTCTCTTGCAGTATTTTCTCAGGTTGTTCTGAATTATCATTCATCCACTCTCTTGAAAGGCTCCATCATGTCAAGGGGATTAGGAAGAAGTAATGGCAAACAGTCACACCGAATCATACAAGAGACTGACTTATGCAGCTCTCACTGGAGTGAACCAAAGGTCCAAACTCCAACCTAAACAGTACCATTATGAGGCAGGCACAGTGGTGCACACCTGTGATTCCACCAGGAGATCAGGAGACCAAGGTAATCCTTGGCTACACAAGACCCTGTCTCATAGAAGAGTTCCACATGGAAGATGAAGATGGAGGGACGATGCATCCATCAGTCCATGGGCAGGCAGCCTCTGCCACACAAACGGTTGAAGGATGGCGGAGAGAGACTGGGGACACCTTCCTTCCTTTCAGTATTACAACAGGTGTTAAGGAATGGAGACAACCTCTGAAAGGGAAGACACAGAGGGCACTAGGCAGCCACACACTCAGAATGAAGAAATACTTTATTCAGTTCATTCCCTCCAGCTTATCCAAAGTTGCCACATCGCTACCTTCAAATGACAAAGCAAATCACAAATAACATGGGACAGAAAACGGCAATGTCCACCTCCTCCCCACAGCACAGAATCACTGGCTAGAAAGCTGTAGACGCAACTCTCTTCAATCCAGGAACTCGAGCCACTAGGCGAAACGGGCTGTTAGGTAGTTAAATTGTGAGCAACACTATGGGTTCCACCCTGCAGCCCCAGAATCCTCAACAGCTGTAAACTCCCGCAGTAAAGCCTTCTCTCCAGTCATAGGGAACTCTGCAGGAGCCAGTCCGTTCTACTTTCTCTGTGCACACAGTTGCACAGGGGGCTGATAAAATGGCTCAGAGGATAAAGGCACTTTCCACCATACAGCTATCTGAGTCAATCCCTGGAACCCAAATGGTAGAAGGAGAGAACCAACTCCCTTAAGCTGTCCTTCGATCTCCATATCCACACCATAGCTTACATGGGAATGCATGTAAACACAAACATACACATCACGCACAATGGATGGATGGATGAATGTAAATAAAAGACTGCACATGAAGGAAGCTTCTACCCAGTAAGATACAGGCCACAAAATTAAGGCATTTTGGAGGGAAATCAGAGGGCAAAAAGCATTTATTATAACAATATATCAAAAATGTCATTGTACTTTTGAAAGCTCTTAACTAGGCACAAGGGCAAAAACAATCTGTCCTGACCACTGCAAACAAGCACACGCTCATCCCCAAACAGCAAAGAGGGGGTTGAAGTGAGCATGTCTCCAGCACAAGCACACAGACCCCAACACCAACAGAAGCAGTGGGAGCTGTGCAGACACTACAGGAAAAGCAGGGCCGGTTAGCTGTCAGGAGCAGTCACACTGCGTGTGCAAGAAAGCCATGTTCAGAAACGCCAATCTCCAGTCAGATTTACAAAACAAGAGGCTGAACACACAGTTCAGTGGTAGAGTGCTTCCTCATATGCACAGGATCGCGGTTCAATACCCAGGACTGGCTGAAATGATCTCCGTGTCCAACACATGTTGAGGCTCGAGAAGGTCCCCCTATATCCTTCTCACTTCACCATCTTTTGTCAGGCTAGAGTGTAGAGCAAATACTCCACAAATCACTGTTCACTTCAAGACCTGAATGTCCCCATCTGTGGGGCTTTCTTGGAATGACCACAAATCCCTAACAGTAAAGCACATGGACCTACTACTTACTGCATGCCAAGGAGTATGGGAAGGAGAGGGGAGCATAAGGACAAGGAAGGAGCTCCCAAAAGAGACAGCTTCCAGAAATCGCTCTGTGCTGATGGAAGCCATTAGACCCCTGCAGGGCAGTGCCTAGTGGGCAGACAGTAAGGAGACAAAAGGACCTGCGGGTGCCATCACAGCACCCTAGGTGCCACTGGTTCCCAAGGCCTGAGTGGGGGACAAACAATCCTCCCTGTGGGTGGCCTCATAAATTTGGGGTGGTAGAGGTCCATCAAAAGCATGTCTAGACTTCTTAGGCCATGTGCAGTGACCCTAGAGAATACTCTCGGACCCCAGGTGTGGGGAAGCTGCAAAGCCTTTCACCACCATGCAGGCTATTAAAAATCCAAAATGTCTCATTAGTTTGTAACATCCACTATAACCGGACTGGTGCCAGGATATCAGCAACACGTAAACTTGAAAAAAAAAAAAATCTGTGAACTGCAACCAAGAGTGTTTTAAATGCAAAGACATAGACCGCACCATCACTTTCAAGCCAACATTCTAGTATCTGCCAGGAAGGACATGATGGCCGAATAAGACAAGCCAGTCAGCTGAGGAAATTGGATTTCCTCTAGCATTACACGCTGCCCTTCTCCTTCCCACTGCACAGCTCTCTGCAGATGCGTACTGTGGGCTGCAATGATCCCACTGTGCCACCAGAGCACAAGGTCAGTACTACAGCGCCGGCTCTCAGCATTGCTACCACCATTAAGTGCACTTCCATTAAGACCACGGGACAGAGACCACTCCCAGAGGGCCTGCCTGTGTCAGCTCTCACAGGACATCACTGGAGTCCACTGAAAGGCACAGCACAAAGGTCCTCCTGCCTGCAGTGGAGCCTCCACAGCTCCAGGAATTGGCTGAAACAGGTCAGGGCATGCTTATCTCTGCTCAGGCCCATATACGGTACTTTCCTTTTCAGAAAATTTTTATCTTAAAAAAAAAAATCATACGTGCTGGAGAGATGGCTCAGAGGTTAAGAGCACTGACTGCTCTTCCCGAGGTCCTGAATTCAATTCCCAGAAACCACATGGTGGCTCACAGCCATCTATAATGAGATCTGGTGCTCTCTTCTGGCATATAAACATACATGGAAGGAGTGTTGTATACATAATAAATAAAAAAATCTTTAAAAAAAAAATCATACGTGAAGCCAGGCAGTGGTGGCACATGCCTTTAATCCCAGCACTTAGGAGGCAGAGGCAGGTGGATCTCAGTGAGTTTGGGGCCAGCCTGATCTACAGAGCGAGTTCTAGGACAGCCAAGACTGTTTCACAGAGAAACCCTGTCTCAAAACAAACAAACAACAACAACAAAATTTTTAAATCATGCACGAAAGAATAGAGGGAAAACTTTCAAACTGATGGTCCTTAAGCCTGATAACAGAAATGGCCAACATTTAAAAATTGCTAATTACCTACTTAAAAAGTATTTTTGCCTAAATTTACCTAATGTCAAAACAAAACAATCAGGGAAGAAGAATATAAATAAATAAATAAATAAATAAATAAACAAACAAATAAGTGTGTGAATAAATAAAAAAGCAAATAAATAAAGTGATAAACATCGCGAGTACAATAGCTACAAAATGTATGACATTGGTAGGTTTCTGAAAATACGTCTAAAAGCACACACAAAGATAAATTCTGAGGCATTAGCACTGGCTAAACTCCAGCCTGCCTGGCCAAGACTCAAGGCACAAACCTCTGTTTAAATCAAGTGGCTGCCCCAGGAATAGCAACAATCACACAGATCCCCCTTGGATAAGCAGGGACAGCTTCAGGCCCCTTTCCTCTGGGCCACTGAGCTCCTCTGCTAGGGCCAGCTCAGTCAGAAGGCAGTAGTGTCATCAGGCCTACCACATTTCCACACTAAGAAGACACCCAGAGCTCTCAGAAATCTGTCGAGTAAACAGCAGTCCTCACCAAGGCCACATCAGCTCCCCATGGTACCTCTCATGATCCTGGGGTGCTCACAATAGTGTTGCTCTTTCCTACCTGTACCTCCTCCTTGAGAGCAACAAAATGCAGTACTTTCATAGAGCTACTAAAACAAGGAGGTGTGTCCTCAGTCAGCACCAATGCTGTTTCGCATTCAGGTTTGCCAGCTCCAAGTTTTAAACAAGCAGCAGAACCTCACAGTGCTGAGATTCTGAAAATAATAAGCACAGGGGATGCTACTCATGTGGCCTGGGCCCCCTACAGAACAGCTGGGGGAGGTTGGGGAGGAACAGGCTCTGGCCCAGCTCATTCCCTCCCCAGACACAGTACTCACTGGCCAGGGCTGGGGCAAGGCCCACTAGAACTCCATGTAGTGCATTTTGGCCAGCTTGGTGTTGCTGCATAGGGCCATTCTGAGACACTGGGGTGAGGTTTGGAACTCCATCCACAGATGGTCACTAAACCACATGATGGTTCAACAGTAAAGTATCATTACAAGTTAGTTTTCTTTCATGGTCAAAATTTTAACAGATCTAACATCTGCTTGCCCCTAAACATTCTCAAGTCTACAATCACCACAGATGCACACAATAGTCCCAAGAGGTTTCAAAATGACAAAATGCAATTTCACCAAACAGGAGCAACCCGAGGATGCTCAAGGCTATGCGTAGTTCCTGATCCAACTGCCCATGACCCTCACACCTGCACTGAGTCATCTCTCTCACCAACAACCCTGGGCAGGACGGGGAAAGATCTCTAGGACTGCCCACAAAGGCACTGAACCAGAAAGAGGGAGACACAGCCTCTGGTGGGCACCAAGCAGCAGGAACTGCTTAGCCTGGAACCACCCAGGTAGCCCATACAGTCCCCATTTTCTGTACGGGAGGATCTGTACAGAGCACCCCAGTGTCATCTTATCCTGTAAGAAGTGGCAGTGAGTGCTATTGGGATGGTCCCTGGTCTGAATGTGGGCAGTCACTTCCTGGCTAGTTCTAGGTGGGCCTCCTAAAGGTAATCATTGTCTGAAGATCCCCAGGGTGAGACGTCTGTCAGAAAACCTTTGCCAGGACAGGTGCTGCACTGTGGACACTGTGCTGGGACCTCCATGCACTGAGATAGCAGGCAGTGTATGCAGCCAAGAAACCATCTTGGAATGAAGACACTTCCAAGAGAGAATGCTGCAGCAGTAAGAAGGGACACGCACCTAACAGCACATACAGACAAACCCAGGCAGGAAAACAGACTGTGTGTCTGTTTCCTACATGTTTTCTTATCAAAACTCTCTTCGTGTTTGGATATTAAGCCTTAAAAGAATAATTAATTGCAAAGCAAGAACATAAAAACCTTTGGAAGATACACGCTTTCCCCACTAGGGCTACCACGAGGCTTGCAGGTTCAACCCATACTGCACACATTTCACAACCCATTTCATTAATATATAACAGTAAAAATCCAGAACAGATATTGAAGAAGAACAAAATTAAGTTTGTATGCCCCTCCTCTCAGTTGACAGTGACTCAAGGAGTGTTTGATGGCCCAAGCACCTGAGACAGAATCACAATTCAAGAGAACATGGCTGTTTCTTCTTCACTGACAGTCAGGGAACAAGTTGGCAGCGCAGGACATGTTTCACAGGATATAAGAGTCAACTTTCACTGCAGATGATTGGCTTCCTCACTGCAGTCAACGCTGCATCTGAACTCTACTCATAAAGCAGAAATTTCTTTATAGGGTCTGGCAGTGGCAGCGAGGGAACCAGATGCAGTCGGTATTTGCCAAGAGCTCTTCTCACAGCAACACGGCACAAACTCAGCAAGGTCCTGGGAATACCTGGAAAGTGTGAAGGGAAAAGGTTTATTCCATCCTGGTTCTAAATGGCCAAAGCTGACTATGGTGGGCACAACTGCACTAACATAGCATTCCTAATCTCAGAGCCAAGGAGGCCCCGGAGGCAAGGAAGGCCTTGCTATCTTCTTCCATCTAACCAGGCATGAGTGCATTTGATGGCCCCACCTCCTGTAATCCTCAGTGCCCTAAAAAAGGCTGTCCACGGGAGACCCCAAAGATGAGAGCAAAAGACCCACACTCTTGCTCTGTCCCAGCAGGGGTAAGGAGGCCTGGGGACATCAAGTTTGTAGTACTTGAATTCAGAGATTAGGCTGGCAGTCCTGCCCCAAATCAAAAAGATACAGCCAAGGCACTACTTCAGGAAGAAAAGGCGACAAGAAAAACATTGTGAATGCAAGCACCTTCATTCTTTCAGCCTGTTTCCCACCTGGCCATCAGCCAGCAACTTGGAGCTAAACAAAATGTTTCCATGAACTGGCTTGGATATAGACAACAGAAATACACTGGTATTAATGTTCTTTGGGAAATAAGAGACAACAGGAGCCTATTATTTGTGTTTTAATAAATAAAGCTTGTCTGAAGATCAGAGGGCAAAGCAGCCACACTAGTCAGCCATACAGGCCAGGCAGTGGTAGCGCACACCTTCAATCCCAGCAGCCACACTAGTTAGCCATAGAGGCCAGGCAGTGGTGGTGCACGCCTTTAATCCCAGCACGAGAGAGGATTATAAAACAGGGGGAGACAGGTTTTAGACTCAGTCTTCAGACTGAGGATTCATGTAGACAGGATCTCTCCTGTTTCAGTCTGAGGTAGAGATAAGAGCCAGTGGCTGGCTGCTTTGCTTTTCTGATCTTCAGCTTGAACCCCAATATCTGGGTTTTTATTATTCTTCCTACAAGAGACCGAATATAAGATTATCAATTCTGATATCCTCTGACGGGATGGCTGGAGTGAGGGAGAGAGGGCACCAGGCAAAAATTAAGATAGACACACAGGACAATTTCTGAATTCCAGAGAGCACTGACAGCAAACCCAAGCACAGGTAAATTTCAAACTCTCTTGCCACTCACTTATTAATTCCTTGGCAAACTTCTACACAAACTCCAGATCTTATTTTAACAAAAACTGGATTATCACAGAACTCAATCTAAGGCTGTTTGAAGGGAACTAAAAAAAAAAAAAGAACTCTAAAAAATGAGCTTATAACTGTTCAATAAATACATGTGAAGTCAGATATAAAAAGGGCTGAGAAAGCAAAGATGAATAATAAAACAAATGACCCATGAATGAGAACACCATGATGGGTCAACAGGATGGCTCAGTAGGAACGCCACTGCCACACTTAATTACCTGAGTTCAACCCATAAGACTCCTGTAAGCTTCCCTCTGACCTCTACACGCATACTATGGCATGTGCATGATTCCCTCGCACATACATAAATAAATATACTAAAAATATTTTTAAAGAAAATGACATGATGAAACCCCTCACTTGGTACAATGATCTAAGAGACAAATTAAGAAAAAAAACAAACTAAGAAAAAAAGAAGTAAAAAAGAAAAAATGTGAAAAAGAAACCATTAGCTAAGAATGAGGTCAAAAAGCAGAGCAAAACGGTAGAGAACATAATTCTAAGAACGTTGAAAGCATACATCTACTTTTATAGATTTCTGGCACCAGCTTTAGGTGTTTGGGAATGGCAAAATAACCATCTGGAGCTGGTGAGAGTTCAGTCGGTAAAGAGCTTGCCCTGAAAGAACAGGGACTCACCTCTCAGAGAAACCGAGTAGTATACATTCTGTCATCCCAACACTGGGCAGCGAGGGACGCAGATCCCTGCAGTTCTGCTAGCCTGAGAGAAATACCCAAGGCTGTCCTCTAGCCTACATTCTGTCCTCTCTCTCTCTCTCTGAACGGCCACTCTGGAGAACTACTGGTCCTAACCGAAGGCTTTATTTAATTAAGTGCTTTAACTGGAATTTCTTGGGGGGGGGGGAGTTGCTATTTTGTAATTAAGATTTATTTATTTTCATGTGTATGGGTGTTTTGCATGCATGTATGTCTGGGCACCATATTCATGAAGTGCCTGCAAAAGCCAGAGGAGAGTCTCCTAGAACTAGAGTTATAGACAGCTGTAAGCATCTGGGAATCAGGATTCCTCTGAAAGAGAAATCAGTGCTCTGGTTCAGTCAACTCCAGATCACAAGACAGTACTGAGCTCAGGCTACTTACTTCTGGCCTCTTTAAAGACCTGCAAGGCCTCAGGGTCCATCTTCCTTCTGCCTGTTGCCTCTGGGCCCAGTGATTCCCACTTCACCAGGTTCAGGTTGGCTCCAAAGTCTACCAGCAGGCTCACAAAGGCAGCCTCACAACCATGGCGCAGGACAGCATCCATAACACACCCAGGGGAGCCCCTGTAGAATTTCTGTGTGTTGACAGGACCATTGCAATTGAAGTCAGGATTTGCCCCAGCCTTCAGAAGGAGCCTGAAACACTGAAGGTTATGGTAGGCAGCACTGATGTACAGAGGACAGACCACCAAGGAGGTAAGCCGCCTTGTGAAAAGGGTCTGGGTGTCAGGAGTCAGGTGAGGGTTGACATCAACATCCGCCCCATACCTACAGAAAGAGAGAAATAAGTTATAAGTCAAACTCACACCACAGAGCCTGTCTAGCACTCTGAAGAAGGCATCTGACAGGAAGCCTCTGGAGACTCCACAGGTCATACACAGTCTACCTGCAGGAACCATATCCAAAGACTCAACTAACCACTGTTGAGAAATATTTAGGGGAAAACTCAGCCAATAAGGAACATGTGCAGTCACTTTCCTGTCCTTACTGTCTAGACAATAGATTACAACAGTACAGCACCTGTAGTAGTGTTGTATTTTAAGTTGTCTATGTGCCAAGACTACATGCAGAAACTCTACTGTTGTATCAAGGGATGACTTCCAGCAAGAGAAAGCAACAAATGAAAACATGGAATCCATTCATGCACATTCCAAAGGGAAGTATTTCAGATTTTGCAAAATAAAATAATTCAAGACTATACAATTTCAGAGGTAAAAGAAAAAAAAAACTTTCAAATTCATTATAAAACTAATACAATAACCCAACTCAATTTTAAAATCTACAATAAGCAAAAAATTATAATAACAAAGAAAATCCAAATACATATTTAGAAAGCAGTGTACCAAAAACTCATGGGATTACCCTAAAAATTAAAAATTAACTCTAATATTAGAAATTCCATTAACAGAATATATTGTATTAATGGATCTCAAGGAAAAATACTGATTAACACTAATAATGCAAGAAGGCAAAAGCCAAGAGTTATACATGTTTTAAAATATCCTATGAAACAGAAAGTGATAGCCGTTTCCTTAAAGTGATAAAATACATTTTCTGAAGCCAGAAATCATCATCTTATTTCACAGGAAGTACCAGAGTACCCCTTGCTACAGGGAAGCACAGCACAGACCCTCCACATGGTGGCCTCTGTGACGCCGATGCTGAAAGCATGAGGAGTGTAACTGGCAAAGGCGATCAGATAAACAAGGCTGGAAAGGAAGAAATGAACCATTCTCTATGCTCAGAGGAAAGGATTACAAAATCTAAAAAGGTGTACAAGAAATGAATAAACAACAAGCAATAAGATAATTCACTAACATAACAGACTAAAATGACAGCCTTCATATATACATATATATATATATACATATATATATACACACAAACAAAAGCCCAGCTTAAAGATTAAGTAGAAAAGCAGTAGCCATTATGACAACAAAATAATTTTTAAATGATCTATATAAACATAAACATAATAAATCAGAGTTATAAGAACAGACCTAAGAAATAGACATATCAAACACTAGAAGAGGCTCAGAATCTCACAAATTTTCCTGAAGTTGATTTTATGAATCAAATTAACTACTGAACTACTGAAGCTAATTACAAATAAATAGTACCCCTGGAACTAATACACTGGTTCTAAAGCTCACTGGAAGATGAAACAAGATCAAAAGCAGGGCTGGAGAGATGGCTCAGAGGTTAAGAGCACTGCCTGCTCTTCCAAAGGTCCTGAGTTCAATTCCCAGGAACCATATGGTGGCTCACAACCATCTGTAATGAGGTCTGGTGCCCTCTTCTGGCCTGCAGGCATACACACAGAATAATGTATACATAATAAATAAATAAATAAATTTAAAAAAAAAGATCAAAAGCAAAGCAACCATGCAGAAGAGATAGCGCCACCATAAGAAGGGCTTAGTATAAAGATCTATAAAACTATAACACAAGCATGTGGATGAGCCAGAAGACCCATGTAAACTCATACAACATCTTACAACAGACCCAACTGCAAGCATAAATTAAGTATATACAGTAAATAACTATCTTAAGAGGGAAGAGTAGTTTTGAACTTTTTAAAAATGTTTTTAATGATTTATTTTTATTTTATGTACATTACTGTTTTGCCTACATGTTTATGTTAGACCCCCTGGAACTGGAGCTACAGACAGTTGTGAGCTTTCATTTGAGTGCAGTGAAATGAACCCAGGTCCTCTGGAAGTGCTCATAATCACTGAACCATCTCTCCAGCCCTTGGTGTGGGAGAATTGTCTGTATTCTGCCAATCATGTTTTAAATAAACATTGATTGGCCAGGCAGGACGTATAGGCGGGTCAACCAGACAGGAAGTAGAGGCAGGGCAATGAGAACAAGAGAATTCTAGGAAGGAGGAAGCCCATTCCTCCTAGTCCTGCCCAGACCACTGAAGAAGCAGGATGTGACCTGCCCTTATGAAAAAGGTACCAAGCCATGTGGCTAACATAGATAAGAATAATGGGTTAACATAAGTTATAAGAGGTAGTACAAAGCCTGAGCTAATGGGCCAATCAGTATATTACTTATGGAGACCTCTGTGTGATTTTCTTTGGGACCTTGCCGGCTGTGGGAACTGGGCAGGACAGAAACCCCAACAAGCAGGCCCACATGTCACAAGCCCTGGTCTTAAACTTTTTGATACTTTTTTCCCAGGACAATTGGAAATCCATATGGGAAAAGAGAGAGTTACATCCATTAATCACAGTGCACACCAAGATAAATTCCAAACAGACCAGAATTTACAAATAAAGGGGGCTGGAGAGACGGCTCAGTGGTTAAGAATACTGACTGTTCTTCCAGAGGACCTGAGTTCAATTCCCAGCAACCACATGGTGGCTCACAACCATTTGTAATGAGATCAAGTGCCCTCTTCTGGCCTGCAGGCATACATGGAGGCAGAATGTTGTATACATAATAAATAAATAAAATCTTAAAAGAAATTTATTTTAAAAAAAGAATTTACAAATAAACTATAAAACCATATAGAAACTGGAAAGATTATTTAGGTCAAACTTACCACCTGGGGCTGGTGAAATGGCTCAGTGGGTAAAGAACCTTGTCAGGACTGATGGCCTGAGTTCAACCCCTGGTACCAAGACACTGGACAGAGAGAACCAACTTCTGTGAGTTGTCCTCTGACCACCACACCCATGCATGCCCCATGCCATGGAAGTGCACATACGCATACATACACACACACACAAGATAAACAAAATTTTGTTAGACTGAAAAGTACCCTAAGGTTCTACTTTGTGTCTGTAGGGTGGGGAAGTCCAGTGTTTACTGACTGTGCTTTAATAGAAACAGAACTATCACTCTTTGGAACAATCCCTGAGGAGACACATTTGGTACTTCTATCAAAATTACACACACACTTACCCTTGAACCCATCCGCCACACTTCTTGGGACTTGTTCCCAAGACACATTTGCAAAACTAAGATGATGTGTGCACAATGCAATTCATTAGAGCACTAATGAACTGTTCCTAACAGCTGAGCCAGGAAACTACCAACAGGGACTGGCTGGTTTATCCCTCAGAAGCAGAACAGGGAAGCTATGAAGGGAAGGAGGAATGTTGCTCGATACAGCTCTGGAATGTCTTCCAGAGCACATGGATGTGTGAGAAAGGTGAGATAAGAAAAGTGTGCAGTTTATACTGATCTTACAGGTTTTCATGTGCAAATATAGAATACTCAGCCACACACATACATTTACTCATTTGTAAAAGTGAAGGACAAATCATAGACCTTTGTAAATGTTTACCTAGAGGGAAAGGAGAGATCAGGACAATGAGACAAGGTTAGAAGTTAGACCTTTTCCAATATCCCTTGTTGTGTAGATTACAGTTGGAACCATGCAAACACTTTACATGGTGAAGCAACCACTAAAATGTGAGAACAAAAAGGAACCAACAAACCCAAGTACATCCATAACTGGTCAACCACATTATGCTCCCCAATATGATGAGTCTTCTTTCAGACAGTCTAGACTGGATTAGTGGAGATAATCCCAGCATCAGATTCAACTGCAAGGACCTGAGGACCTACACAGGAAGCATAGCTTCCCAGCAGGGTAGCATCATGCAGCCCTGCCCAGAAGGTAGGTGCACAGCAATAAGTAAGCGATTTCCTAGAGCTGATGTTATGAAGATCTCTCACTAGGTATAGGTGCTGAAGGACCCACAGATAGTCTTTTTTGCCTGCCCTTGGCATGCTCCATAAACCCCCAAATATACAGCATTTAGAGTTGCCTGAGGGCAAGTGCAAACTACCTATCTCTTTTACACTAACCAGGGGTCAGCCAGCTGCAACAGGGAGGGTAGCCTGGCTCAGGGGGCAGAGTCCTAACAAGGCAAGCAAGGTACCTGCTAAGGACAGGGGCTTGGCATAAGGCAGTGGAGCCCAAATGGGACAAGAAGAAGTGAGGGGAGGCAGGAAGAGATGCAGATTAAGTACAGACAGCGTATGATGGGAACAGGAAGTAATATGGACACACACCCTCAGCTCCAGGTAAGGAACAGCAATGCTTCCAGAGTAGAACACACTCCTAAAAGTACTTCATTTCAGGTCTTGGTTTCTTTTTTGAGACAGAAAAAAGAAACACACAGTTTGTTGTACAAACTGGTGGCAATCTTTCAAATAACTATATAACAGACCTCTGCTTCTCTGCCCAGCTTAGATCTTTGTTTCTGCACAGATTCTTCACTGAAAGTAGACTGGACTCTGTAGGACTTACTCCAGGACTGACTCAGGAAAGTCTACAATGAGCTTAGACTATCCTGTTATGTGAGAAAGTAAGGATGTGTTCACCAAGCAGTAGGGACATGTCAAAAGCACACAAAGCTGGCCTAAGCCACTAGTAACATTAATGTGATCATCAAAGTAACAATGATGTATTGTAACTCCACTGGACAAGAAACCATAAGTCTACACTAAATGAAACGCACGGCATATATATATATATATATATATATATATATATATATATATATATAACTAGTATTTTGTTGGGAGTCATTTTGCAACCATATTGCAAAATGACTCCCAACAAAATACTAGTTACAAAGGGAAGAGCAGCTTTACAATGAAAAACCTGGCAGACACCACTATCATCTAAGAATCAAAATGAAAGGCAGGAGAAACAGGATCAATGACAGCAGGACTTACTTCTGCAAGATTCCTGCCCAATAGGATCCTCTACAGTGGCAAACCAGTCACCTATCTGTCACCTC